CCCCTACCCACTTTGATGCATTTATCAAATTTCGCCTTGGGGGGAGTTATCTTTTCACAGGGGGGGTAAGATACACTTTTACATGTCTTAGGCTATGTCCAAAACATGACTGCCATCTTGCAAGTCGCCATACTGGGTCAAAATAAAAGGGTGTCCTGTGTCTTTTGACTCACCATGTAGTATTAATTAGACCTTTTCTAATTCAAAACTTGCCTAAAATTTGAAGTTTTCTCTGATGCACAAGCAGGTGTTATTGAACTGAAACATAAAATGYAGCAGAGAGGAGGCACTGACCTGAACTCTGAGAGTGTTGATRGGGTCTTTGGTGAAGTTGGTGCAGCCTGCATGGCAGGGAGAAATGTACTCAACACCATCAGAGCCRCACACGGGGTTAAAGGCGTTGTCGGGACAAGAGCAGTTCAAATAGCAGGCGGATGAAGATCTGTGAAGAGAGAGAGAGAGAGACAKTTAAACATATATATCTGTAACAACTGACTAGAAGTGAGTAAATCATGTTTTCAAACAGTAGCTGCACAGTTCCAATGAAACTCCTCCACTGACCTAAATCCCCTCACTCACCCGTTCTGTCCCACGGGGGAATGATTGACCTCCGAGACCTTCTGCGTGGAGCAGCCCATGAAGAAAAGAGGCACGCAGAAAAGGGTGGAAATTATGAGCATGACCACAGAGAAACGAGGAACCATCTTCTGAGAGAGGTTCAACCTCTTCATGATAATGCCTCCGATCAGCATCCCCACGGCCACCGCTGGCAGGTTCACAGCACCTGAGAAACAAACACGTGGGCCATGTCGTTAGCAGGCTGACAAAAGCTGCCCGACTGCTTTAAAACAGTTTTCTTTATGATTTCCTAAGGCTGCAATTAAACGGAAATCATCCTATGCTGAGAATTAAGAGTTGTTATTTTTGGTAAATAGCTGTATAATGATGTTATTCAGAATCTCCTGTAATGTTAGGGATCACTCTCARCTACTGCCACACCAGATTTTAGCTCAATCACTGTAAAACTCACTAAAATATATCCATTTTTGTGCTGAGAGGGCCTTCTTAAACTACACAGACTCCAAAAAGTTAATCAATAGTAAATGAACAATAAAAAATAACTACAATTAAAATGTGTTGATGTTTCATCATCATTAGCTATGTTTACATGCGCAAAATTCTTTGATCGGATTGAAATGCATCAAATTAAATAATCAAAATGTGTCGTTTACATTGGCACAATCCGATCATGACGAGTGTTTACATGCACCAGGCTTTTATTCTGAAGAGAAGCACTGACATGCACAGTTACTAACTTTCCCTACAAAACACATAAGAAGAAGATCCACTTGCGTCATGAACATAAACAGCTTCTGAGCTCAGAATGGACCTGCGACAGGTTTTAATAACTGTGGAGACGTCACTGCACTCTCTGGTTCATCTGCTGGTGATGTGCAGGGTTTTTTTTAATTTATTTATTATTTTTGGGGGTGGGTGCTGTCTTCCTTTATTGAATGAAAAAACAGGAGGAAAGGTTCTGTGCTGGTGGAAACTACAGCGCTGCTGTCCCTCCATCCACAAAAGAGCAGAAACCACATCAGCTTTCCACAATCAGAATAAATGATCAGATTAAGTGTTTACGTGCACGCTGTTCAGATTATCAATCGGCATAAACCACCCCTCTCATTCCGGTTACAAATTCATTCGGATCGAGCTGAATCTGATCAGAATAATCAGAATGGAGTGTTTACATGATGCATTTTTATTCAGAATAGCCGTTTAATCCATTTACTTATATCCATGTAAACATAGATACGGTTTGCTTAAAAAATAAATAAATAAAAAACAGGCTTGACTTAGTTAACTGCAATGTTTTAAAGTGCTGTGACATCAACATCTTTGTAATAAATATGAATGCACTTTTGGAACGATAGCATTAATAAAATATTGCAGGAAAAAAAATCAAGTTGCTGAGATGAACGGTTGTTCAGATATTCACACGTGAATAAACAGGAAGTGATGTCAAAGGGGAATGTCTGAACGTGGACAGAGTTGCTACAATGCTGAAAACAAGACTGTAGAGAAGAATGTGATGTTACTTTAGATTATTTTGAGTCACTATCAGAGAAATGAAGAAGAGTTTAATTATTGTTTCAATAAATAAAGACCAGGAAGTTCCTTTTCATTTAAGTGTGCCCCTTTGATGTCACTTCCTGTTTCATTTTGGTTAAGCTCAAAAGACAGTATGATAATTATGTAACAAAATGGGTAAAATTGTGTTTGTTGTGCCAACATTCTTATATATTAGGATGTTTTCTTTGATTTTTTTTGTATTTTTAAAATCTTGAACTTGTAAGTTCATAATAAAAAATGTAAATTTGCTATTTTAAATGCAATAAGCCTACACAACCTTCCCTCTTTTACATTTTTTAAATCAGAAGTTACTCTTTTGGGAAGAGGTCATTACAACAGTGATGTCAGTCAATATATAAATTATTTGCACACAGTGACTCATTTTCCTTCAAATATCTCTTTTAAACGGTTTCTTAAAGCAGACCCTGAGTTCCTGAACTTGATGCTGATTATAAGTTACTGACTGGGAAACAAAAAGTAATTTGCATCACTGAAAACCCAACCCTCTGTACTTACCGACTAGCARGATGCTGTAGGCAACTGAAGCACCRTACTGTCGCTCCAGGAACTTGTTGAGGAACGTCGCTAGACTTGAGATCACCGACGAGAAGCAGCACTGGGCCAGGATCAGCAACATCAGCCGAAGGTTCAACAGGATGTTGATGAACATGTGAGGAAACCCTGACGGATCACATCCGGACACTGATTAGTACAAAACAAGTTAGTCAGAGTAACAGCGTCACAGTGGGAACTTACTCTTAAGGAAGTCAAGTAAAGAAATATCCAGCGTCTTTGAGTCATCAGTGGAGTCAGTCTCACTTTCAGTGGCCTAGAAATAAATAACAATTCAAACAACAATGATAAAAGAAAAATAATGATATTATTTTTATCATGGAGTATTAGGGCCAGACTATAAGAGTTTGTTTTATTATAAGAATAAAATTGTAAATACATATATATACAAACGTATGACAAAAACATCAAAAATATCACCAGAGTAAAGTCATAATAGAGTAAAAATCAGGCTTACTGCTGCGTTAAAATGAGGAATGTTAGAGTGTTTTTCTTTTGGGTTCCCTCGTAATCCTCTTTGCTTCACAATAKTATTGTATGGGAGCGCAAAAGAAAAAGATCTCTCCCACGTCCCCTCGCCCACTCCATAATTTCAAAATTCTTGTAATATTTTAACTTTATTCTGGTAACATTATGACTTTATTCTTGTAGTACTTTGACTATTCTCAAATTATTTTGTTTTTATTGTCATAATATGGCTTTATTCTTGTAAGAATATGACTTTATCCTTGTAGTATTTTGACTTTATTCTTATTATTTAGACTTTTTGTATTATATGACTATCTTTTTGTATTATTTCAACTTTATTCTCATAACACTATGACTATTCTTGTAATACTGACTTTATTGTAATTTTTAAAAAAATGCTCTTCGTCTGGCCCTAATACACAGATGTGTATATTTACTGTATTTGGCTGGAAATATAATTATTATTACGCTAATGAATGTAATTTTTTATTTGTTAAGATTATCTTTATGTTAGTTACATGTTCAATTCTATTTGCTGGATATTTTCATTCCTCATCAAGTAACGGCTGAGTCACACTACAAGATTTTAAACCAGTTGGCCGATTTTCAAAGACTGGGAGAGCCCACACG